AACATATTGATATTGATATGAAATTACAACAGGTGACAATGCAATGAACTACTATTCTCGCAGATGCTATCCACGAAATAAGACGATACCTACTAACTACAAAAGGCCACAAATCATAAATAATGAATGAGCAATGGTGCTTTTGGAACCATACATGTTTACCAAAATGCCGTAAGTATGTTTGAACCAACCAGAAACAGTAAAAACAAGAATATGCATTATCTACCGCATTTGCAACTTCTAATGAAATTACTGTACATTTATGCAAGTTGCCTAACCTAAAGTGTTAACACGTAGGGATCTTTTACCCCACAGAGGAACAGACAGCTCCCTGGGTCACCATATTGAGAAAGTAAAATATGCCATATACAGAGTTACATTGTTTTTCTTTCTGCTTCCTTCTTTCCTTTTGCACTTCATTAAATCAGAATCTTTTAGCAGTGAAAATTATGGTTACTTGTCATATAACCAAGACCAAAAGAAATACTCACAAGAAAGATAACATATTTTTATTTTCATTGAATCTTTTAAATTACAATAATAATCATTAACGATCTTGATGGCTTAAACACTAGACATTCTTGCTAATAATTATGGCTATCAAGTCTGGACAACTAATAAAATTTCATCACTAGTTTTCTACAAAATAACATTCAATAATGCAAGTTTTGCCAAATTTTAATCACTAATCTAAAACAGCAGTCTCAAGTATTATAATGATGCTTCCAGGACAAACTCTTTTGAAACCAAGGCATCCAAACACTCTGAACATATACAGTGACATGAATTATTCAGGAGACAATACCATTTTCAGTGAATCCATCAGTTTTGTATGTATCTGCTGAGCAGGTGATCGCTTCGCCATTTCGAGATCCTAGATATCCTGAGTTTTTGACTGCAACATCTAATTCATCACTGTTTCTATCCTTTATATCTACATTTTTTGTCTCCTTACTCTGACAAACAGATTTGAGAGCATCAAGCTTGGATGCATTTATACAAGTCAAATCCATTTCAGCAGCCAACTTTTTTATATCCATCACCTGAAAGTAATAGGAATACATATGATGAGCAAAAACACCATAACATAGGAAAAGCAGTCTGCAGGAATGATGAAGCATGGCGAGTTCGAAAACATATGGTTTCCCCATGTCCCTTCTATTCAAATCACAAAAGATTACAGAAATAAGACATGCTTCTCGTGATATTTCTCTGATTATTGTACATGTGTCAAGTTCCTCATGTTCCTCAAGTCAAAACTTGTATGCGAAAGATGCATGCATACTGACTGGTGAGTGACAATGCATTAACCAAGCATGTTTCTTCTGTATGATTCAAACAGAATATTAATTTGAATGATTGAGAGCATTTACCACAAAAATATGTGTCTACATACATATATGTGTACGTGCAATCTGCATGTCTGCCTTATGCAAGTGCAAAGAAAGATAAAGGCACATGCAAACATAATTGTGCATGCAGGTGGACATTTGTGTTGCACAATATATAGAATGCAGTATCAAAGTGTGAAAAACCACCATTCATGAGAATCTCCAAAGACAATATATGACGATTCAATGAGGCATAATGATAAGGATTTAATTCTCATAAGTTATACTGTTTGGATATCTATTATTCTTCTTCGCAATTTCTACTACTTACTTCCTGTCAACCTTTACACTATATCCTCCTTGTTGTATCTGCTATTATATTTCCATGTATGTTACCAAATGTTAGTACCATTCCAAACTTTCTCCATTCTTTCGTGTTGCCTGGTGCGTCCTTTAAAATGCCCTTCTACACCCTAGCATCTATCAACTCTCAGGCAACAGTATTAGGGTGATTGATAGTCTCTGCCCCGACTCAGATGCAAAGAACAAAAGAAATATCCGTCTTTCAGAATAACATGCTTTAACTGAATGTGTATAAATATGTTGTCCAAGGACCTACTGACTATGAAATTTGGGTTCACCTAGCAAGATTGAAATTGGTAAAATTAGGTTTGCTTCTTGACCAATTTGACTGAAATTTTTTAAGAGAATCCTTCTATTGATTGTTTTATCATTAGTTCGTTTTCTTCAATTTAGATCTGCTTGCCCTCTGACCTTACTTACTGCTTCACAAATGAAAGGTAGTCCCTCCACAGAATATCTATCAATTTTTCCTTACTTCTAGAACTTTCCGTGCTATAGCAGAATTTGGAGGATGTCATATAGTCTTATAGAATCACAGTCATCTCCTCTCCTTTTTATTTTTTGTTTACTTGGCCAGGAATCTAACACTAACATATAGTAGATTACCAATTGTGTCATAAAACTTTGTCAAATCTTACATGGAGCCTTTCTCCATAGAATTATCGGACCAAACCTTACCTTATTGTGAGATCTATCGTTAGCAATAACCTCTCCTTTATCCTTCATGAGAATAGCAACTCCAGTTGTTTTTCCACCTGGAGCAGCACACATGTCCAATATGCGCTCACCTTCTTGGGGATCTAGAACACAATAAATTATTGAAATTAAGATGTCAAAAGAAGCAAAGCATAAAAGGTACAAACGAAAACTAAAAGAAAAAAAAACTACAAGGCATATTAGTATTTCGCATGTATGATGTCAGGCGTAATTACATATATAGACAAATATATAGTTGGGTTGGGTAACTTACAATACGTCATCAGGATTATTAATAAAAATCCAATATTGCAACATCCTTATCATCCATCAAGTGCCTGAAACCAAGCGAGTATACACTTTTTTACAGGATGATTTGTGGTACTGGTACATGATGCAAGCGAGAATTTATCAAAATCATTGGATTTCCTTTTAAGGTGATTTCAAAAATGGTGTAGTGCAATTAAAATGGTCTATGATGCACTTCGGGTGGCAGTACTCATGTTCATTGATACTTGATACTTATAAAAAGTAGCTTTTCACTGCATTTGTGCATGTGATACATGGCAAAAGTTGGCTTTGTGCATTTTTAAAAGGCTGATTTGCACTTTTGAACCCTAAAAGCTTAGAATCTTTTTAACTTTGATATTCAAAGTTTTTTTTTTTGACAATTTGACACCCCAAAGTTTCAATGTCATTAACTTTAGTCCCCTCCAATTCATTGTTGTTTATTTTTATGATTAAAATATATCACGCGCTTAACAAGTTATAGTGATACATTTAGGCGTTAGGACAACATACCCTTATGATAAAAATATATCCCATCTATCCCATTTCTTCCTCCACATTGCATTAGGACTTTGGTAGAAATGGATTTGGTCTAAATAAAATAAAGAGGAAGAAATGGGAAGGATTTATATTTCATCTTGAGGGTATTATTGTCCTAAATTAATCACAAGTGAAGGCAATTTAAAACTTATAACCATTTGTTTTGCGTTAAGAAATTTAGGTGATGTGCATCACATCTAATGTTGTGATTTATTATATGTTTGCCTATCTGCCATTTTGAAGGGGCGTTTGCATCCAAATATAGTCTTTTGTGTGTATGTAATAGAAATTAGTTTTTCCAGAGAGTTTGGGCCAACTTCTAAAAACTTCTAAAACTAATGTTACAACTTTTTCATGAATGAAAAAGATTTTATCATAAAGAACCAATTAGTTGTAAAGTATTGAAATTTGATCTTAGAAAGGCCTGAGGTAGGCTGAGCGATGTTCAGCCCAAGCTGAACTAGCTGTCCAAACTACGACAGGTCCAATCATTTTTAAATACACTTCGGTTCAGTTCGGATTGAATAAAATTCGACAGGTCCAATCATTTTTAAATACACTTCGGTTCAGTTCGGATTGAATAAAATTCAACAAACTCGTTGAACCAACCAAATGCACTATAAGGTTGTATTGTTTGTTATAGGGTTTTAAATGATATATTGCTCATATAATCATATCCAATTAATCAAAGTCCAAGCTGATTGACTCAATCACATGTTAATCATGTTTACTTAAATGTGTGTTTCCTTTCATAACCTAATTCTGATATCCTGATTCGGTGGTGGAGCTAGGAATTTTATTAAGAGAGGTCCAATCCAAAAAAATTAATGAGTAACCACAATAACATATTAAAGCAGGACAAAGGGAAAGCTTGCGAGAAATTCGGACGTCTTGTGATTATGTTCATGTTCGAATATGGTCATAAGAAATCCAAACGAATGGCTTCTGAGAAAGTTGATGGATCTTACATTTCATTCCTATGATTTATAAAATTATTATTAAGCAATTAATTCACTGATGTAGGATAAATTCAAAGATTATATTTGTTGCATATAGATCACTTGTACTATCGCCAAACTAAACACCACTGTAGTTCTACTGTTGTACATAGATTCCACTCGAAAGAGCCCTGCAGATATACTCCCTAAGTGAAAATCTATTGCTACAGAAAACCCCCTAAAAAAGAGTAAAAAAAATTCACTCAGAAGGGTCTATTTGCAACAACAAAAGTACATTGTAGCAAGTTCAATTAGGATCTATCCGCAATTACTATCACTCACAAACAACGACCAAGCCCAAACTTCCCTCAAAATGCTATCCAGAGGCAGATTTACATTTGCCCCGGAGGTGCAATTACACCCCTAAGTTTTTTAAAATTTACACATTGCCCTTATATTTTTTTTTCTAATCTGTCACCCCTAAGATTTATATAATTGCAACCCAACCCATCTCTAATATAACAATGCAAGCACAAGCTCATTTAGATTTTCACCCAACCAAACCCGTTTAACCACCTAACCAACAATTAGGTCCGGAAACATAAAGCCCAAATATACAAAAAGCACTTGAACCCAACACCCAAGCCCAAAACTTATCTTTCTCCCTCTCCCTCTTTTATTTGTCTCAGAACCCAGAGACCCAAAAGTTCCTAAAATTGCAAATCCTAACTCTCATGATCCACCCAATCCCCACCTGCACTACGACCACTGCCTGACCTGCCGACACCCAGAACCCCGCCCAGACCCACACCTACAACCATCCTCACCATCTTTCCTCAACTTCTCCCAAACCAATGTCAAGTGAGTTTAAAATTTTCTTTTAAATTATGTGTTTAAAAAGTTAATATGGTTTTGTTTAATTACTAGTTTACACATTTTCATGCTTTCATCTATGATTGAGGGATACGATTCAAAAAATTTAATATACCAAGAATATGCAATATATTAGTTTTGTTTGTCAAATATTTTCTTCAATTTTACTGAAATTTGAAATAAATTAAAGTGTAAAATGAATTTGCGGTTAATAGACTGTTATTTATTGAGAATTTGAGTCATATAAACATTATAGAAGTCAAATTGTGAGAATTGGTAATTATAAATAACTAATAAAAATTTATTGATTAATTGAAATAACAGTTGATATTACTTGCATAATTTTTTTTAGTTACGGAGAAATTTCATAAGAGAAACTCACCAACGGAGCAAACATCAACTAAATTCAAATGATCCTGAGAATTTAGAACCTAGCAATTAGCAAAAAAATAAAATGAACCTAAAAGATCTTCCGGTTGATCCAGGGCTTCGATCGGATATTTTCGATTATCATCTTAATGATCGAGATGATATTCGAAGAGACTATTTGCAAAAAGGTCATTGTCAACCACGCAAGCATAGATTTTCAAAAACAAAAATTAGAATGATTTGCGTTGTTTCAATCCTAGTTGGTTTAATTTGAAAATTGGTTTGAGTATAGCATATCTAAAGATGCGACATTTTGCTTGTGTTGCTATCTTATGAAGCCTAAGCAAGGTGGTGATTGTTTTATCGTCAATGGATATACAAAGTAAAAAAAGAAAGAGGGTTTAATAAAGCATGTTGGTGGTCCATATAGTGTGCATAATGAAGCTTGTACTAAATGTCAAGCTTCAACGAAGTAAAAGCAACACATTAATGTTGCTATATCCAAGCAATCAGATCAAGCCAAAGAAGATTGACGTATTCACTTCATGATAACAATCGATTGTATTCAATTTTAGTTACACCAAGGTTTGGCCTTTCAAGGCCATGATGAAGCTAAACAATCAAGTAACTAAGGAAACTTTCTTGAGCTCATACATTTCGTCACTAATCAAAATGTTGCTTTTATTAACATTTTGACAAGAGCTCATGTAACGGCACCTAGCATATAAAAGAATATTGTTAGTGCTACTGCCACTAAAACTACTCAAGTTATTATCGATGATACTGGTGAGATGATTTTTTTGCTATTTTGATTGACGAGTCTCATAACATATCAATTAAAGAGCAAATGGCTATTGTGTTGCGTTATGTAAATAAGAAACGACATGGCACTGAACGCTTTCTTACGCTTGTTCATGTTTCCTCCACAACCGCCTTAGTCTTCAAGGCAGCAATTGAGTGTTTATTTTCTAGACATGGACTAAGTTTGTCAAGCGTTCGTGGACAAGGTTACGATAATACTACTAACATGCAAGGAGAATATAACAATCTCAAAACATTGATCATGAAGGAAAATGGGTATGCTTTCTATATCCACTGTTTCGCACACCAACTTCAACTAGTTCTTGTGAGTGTTGAAAAGCAGCAAACTAAAACTGTCCTACTTTTTATGATACTTAACAATTTGTCTAATGTGGTTGCAGGTTCATGCAAACGTCGGGATATTCTTCGAGAAAAACAAATTAGCAAGATCGTCGAAGGTTTAGAAAATGGTTAACTTTCAAGTGGAAGAATTTTAAATAAAGAAGCATCTCTTCATCAAGACAGAGATACTTGTTGGTATTCTCACTATGGGATGTTGGTCAATTTGATTCTTATGCTCTCATCTATTATTGAGGTGCTTGATACTATTGCTAAAGATAGCACAAACTCAAGAGCAAAAAGGCTAAGTAAGTACCTTGTTATACTTCATGCAATCTTTTGAGTGTGTACTTAACATGCATTTAATGAAAAAGATATTGGGAGTTTCACACGAATTATCTCTAAGCTCTATGACGGAAATTAAGATATCAACAATTAGGGCTGTGCATGGTTCGGTCCAAACCGAAAAAACCGACCAAACCGACCCGAACCGACCCGAAAAAATCGGTTTTATGAGTAGGGCGGTTCGGGTCGGTTTGGAAACATTTCAACCCGAACCGACCCGAACCGACCGAATATAGTGCAATACTACCCATTCTGATCTCAAACCCTACCCGACCCATCCCCAAAAAGTTAAAGACTCAAACTCTAAACACATTTTCTGGATCATTATGGGTTGAAAACAATATCATTATATCAGTGTTTAATGCTTCATAATCTCCTACTTTGTTGATATTTTTTTTTAACATAGTTTGTTGTTTGATAAGAAGTTTGATGAAGTTAGAACCGAACCGCACCGAACCGACTTGCAACAGTTCGGTTCGGTTTTGAATTATAGGCGGTTCGGTTCGGTTGTTCAAAGTTTGGTAAAAACCGAACCGAACCGAACCGACAGTTGCACACCCCTATCAACAATGTCATGGCTTTAGTTTAAAGTAGACGAACAACGGCTAAAAAATGATGAGAGATGATGAGTGGGAATCTTCGCTTAGAGAAGTTTCTTCATTTTGTAAGAGACGTGATATTCATATTCCAAATATGAATGTCTTTGTACTGTCGATGACCAAGGCATAATGTTGAGAAAGTGACAAATTTACACCATTTCCATGTTAAATTTTTCTATCAAATGATTGACAAGCAACTTCAAGAGCTCAACAATAGCTTTACGAAGGCTAACACCAAGTTGCTTCTTTGCATTGCTTGCTTATTTGCATTGCTTGCTTGGAGCCAATGGATTCATTTCATCTTTTGATAAGCTAAATTAATTTGCTTACTTCAGTGTTATCCATTAGAGTTTCATCTAATAGATCTCATGGCTCTTGATAATCAACTTGAGAGTTACATTCTTGACAGATAGTCAATTCTCAATGCTAAAATGCATTGGTGATCTTTCCAAAAAGTAGGTTGAGACAAAAAAAATTGTTACATGTTTTTTGGTGTATTTGCTTGTGAATTTGGCTTTGATCTTACCGATAGTGACCGACGACCGTAACTGTAGACCGAGCTTTTTCTGCAATGCACGTCGTGAAGAATCGTTTTCATAACAAAATGTTATATAAATGGATGAATGATTGTTAGGTTGCATCCATAAAGAGATGTATTTCATAGCGTTGCCACTGAAAAAATCATGCATTAGTTTCGAAATATGAAAAATCATCAAGGGAAATTTAAAAGTGTGAATATCTTTTTTCATTCTGTTATAAAAGTAATTGTCTAAATGCTTTCTATGTCTTTTGGGGGGAGGGGGGTGTATGTATTTTTTTGCTGAACAATCTTACGTAAATTATTTTACCAAACAAAATGTTGGATTTTGTAGAGATTTTTACTAGCAAGCATACATCTTTTGATTAAATTACTGGAAGTAAATTATTAGTAAAAATACTCATTTTTATTTTGCTATCTCATCACGGGCAAAATATGATGCAATAAAACTAATAAAAGTGTTTCCACTACCGAAAACATTTTCACCAAGTATTACTGGTTTATAATATTTTATTATACTTTAGTTTTAGATAAATAAATACTTGTTGTTGTCCCCACAAAGGAAAATTTTATGAATCCACCCTGATGTTATCAAGTATTGTGCCCCAACTCTACCGAGAAAAGACAAAAAAGAAAAGAAAAGAGAGCATGTCGCGAAACACCAAACAACCAAAGCAAAAGAAAGAGGACGAAATCTCTTCATCTATTTCTTAGCTTTAGCTCCCAAACACAATAGTCATCTAGATAGACATCTTTCATTTTCCAAGGTAGGGTCAAGGCCCCTTTAGCCCTCACTTAGGTCCACCCATCTTAATTCCAAATTAGTAGGATTAGATTGAGATTTGAGACTAATAAACCTTTCATCTTTCTCTTTTCTCTCATCTTTCTCCTTCTCCTATGCATCAATTTTTCATCATCTCTAACCCTTCGACTTCGACTTCGATTTCAGACCAAAACCAAAACTCTATGTCAGAGCAACCACTTCGACACCCGTCTTTAATCTCAGGTTCGCCGGCTGTAGATCCGGAGACACATAGATCGTTTGTTTATTAAAAAAATATGCTTTTGCAATAGAAATCAACATTCACAAAAGCATGGCTCACAGAGTTGGAGGAACTTAATGATTTTAAATTTGTATTTCTTTTTGTTTAGATACTTTGAGTGAAAAATTATATCATAAAATTTTGGATTATGATGCACTATTCTTGGCTTTGAATTTGAGATTCGTTCATATTTTTTAATCATGAATGTGAGATGACGTTTATTAAATACGATGGATTGCAACTTTGTAGCTTCTTCACTATGTAGTATGTACTAGTGTAATATACATAAAACTTGTGAAATATTAAGATTTCGCAACAAATTGTCTATGTTCATATTCATGCAAGTGCCAACCATTTCTCTACAAAACTTAGTGGACTCTTGTGTCATAACTTTCCTTGAGAATCAATGAAAATGGAAACATCACGCAACAGGCCTTAACTATTTATGTGATTGCATAGAAGCAATGGATAAAGCAATACACCCACTAAAGAAGAGAGAACATTGATGCTAATTTAGTCCTCACTACCGATTATATCGATCCGAACCCAATGAACCAAATGAGTGCAGTTTGGTGCAATTCTGAAACCAAAGATAGTTCGGTTTGGCTATTTTTTTGGTCAAAACTGAGCCGACTGACCGAATGCACACCCCTAGTCTGAGGTATTACACAACATGACATATGTTAAGTATAGCATTGACCTTAGTTTATTAGAAGAAAGGACAGTTACTCTTATTACATTAGGAATCTGGTCAAAACAAAGTAAAATAGCTCAATTAAAATTGTGTAGTCATCTAAGTTCAGGAATTTGGGGCATCAAATATTTTTGTGGTTCAGGAGGAAAGCACTGGTTGCACTACTTTTAGCTGAAATGTGCAAACAGTGGACCGTTAAGAAACCAAGAAAGTGAGAACAGAACAAAGCATATTAACTATAAAGCCTACAGAAAAGTGAGAACAGAACAAAGCATATTAACTATAAAGCCTACAGAAAATAGTTTGCAGCATCCATGTACAGAACATGTAAATATGAAACCAAATGACATGGTATTGAACAAAGGCATAAAGTAAAATATTGTTGAGTTAATACCTAGAACACGAGTAGCAACTATACTGGGCAAATTCTGCAGAAATATTTCTCCTTGAAGCACATCTAGAGCAAAGAGAGTGTAAATTAGAAGTTAATATGTTATATAAGCCATGGATTTTGGCTTCATTTGCAGTTACTCAAATATAGTATAGAATGCAGCAAGGTTAATCTTAATTGTTTAAGAAATAAGACATAAAAATTAGAACAAAAACATGCAATTTGATGATAAATATCAAAGTGGATTTTATACATGTTTAAACAAACACAATATGACTTTCTTTAGGAGAAGCAAATAACATCAAAGAGAAATAAGCTACTTGAGTTCCTTACTCTTGGAACCCCACACCCTCCACCCCTAAAAAAATAAAATAAAGTAAAACCACAAGTAACTGTCATTCAGATACAAGCTTAATACAATGCAAACATCTATGAGAAACATTCTCCAACACCCCTATCAGAACTGACAATGAGTATTACAACAAAGCTACGGTCTAGTGTTTGGAAAGAGGGGATGGTCGTTTGAACTATATGCACTACAAAGCTGGAACACATTAGATTGGTGCTTGGGGTTGTGGTACACTTAGGAGCAATAGTTCAGATCATTTCAATAATTGTGAAAGTGTTGTATGTGGGTTCAAAAACAATTACAAATACATGGAAGAATAAAGGAGTATGGCACCAGTGGCTTTCTTCTTTGGTATCTAGAATGCCTACATCAAAAAATATGAAGAAATTGCTTCAATTTTAAAGGGGAATTCTAAATAAACTACACAATCAAAGTTACAACCGCAAGTTTAAAGCCCATAACCAAGTCTAAAAAACGAAAAAAGAAAATTAACGAAACCAAAAAACAAAATTAACAAGAAAGAAGTAACTTCTAAGTTCTAACATATTGAGTTGAAATAGCTTTGGTGGTGAATAACCAAGTTTGGGAACCTATATTGGGACTAGATAATGAATTGAGGACATGAACTGGATAGTATCAATTAGGTAAAACTTGTGATGCTGTGGCAA